CCCGCCCCCCCCGCCTCCGCCTCCCGCCCCTTCCGGTAACCCACCCTTGCAGGCCGGGCATCATTTCCAGGCGATGGGAGCTTTTCAGACGCCCCTCCTCCACCCGGGGGCCTCCAGCACTGCTGCTTCTGTCACACCCGCTGCCTACCAGGTCCACCAGCAGGGGGCGCTCCCTCCTCCGCCCCCGCCTCCTCCCCAGCAGACCGCGCCCACGCCGTCCCAGGCCACGCCCCCTCAGCTGCCCAATGGCACACGGGGGGCTGCGGCCTCCTCTGCCCCTTTCCACAGCACAGGGTACCTTGGTTCGGGGTGGCACTGAGCCGCCTGCCCCGCAGCTCGCAGGCACACCGTGGCGTGACCTGTGAATACCCTCAGAGTACCCGTCCACAAAGCAGAGGCAGAAAGGGTACTTTTTAACAGAAAAAGACTAAAGAAATCCTGTAAGGAGACTTCACAGGATGTCTCACAAATCACGGTGCTCATCACCATCCTCTCACACCTCCTGGCCGAGGTACTGGTCTCCTTTTAACTTTGTAGTCACCCCTGTCTGTCCATTGTCCCCCCCCCCCCCAGATCTAGCCCATTCCAGCTTCCACACCCCATTTGTCTGTTGAAGTCATTTCTCATTCTCTGTCCTTTGTCTGTCCTCTTAAACCATTTATTTGTTTATTTAGTGGCTCATTTTAGCAAAGAAAATGGCTTTTTGTACAAAAGAAAATACAGAATTATTTTTTTTATTCCTTCATGTAAAAAAAAGAAAAAGAAAATAATCTTTGCTTCAGTGCAGAGATTGATAAGAGGCTTCTGGTAGTCCACTTCACTGCCCCAGGAGTGTGCGTGTGAGTGTGCGTGCGTGTGTAAGGGCCGTGCAGTCCACGTGTGCGCACTGCATGCGAGGTAAACTCGGCCTGAGTGAGGACTTACCTGTAGGTAGGGCGCTAGCATCTTATTTTTGAATCTGAATGGTTATTTGTAGAAATGTAATTTAATGTAGAGATGGTTCGTCCAGCTCTCTACAGACACGTGTAAATAGTTGCTTCTTTTGTTTTCTACGCTTGTACAATTCGCTCCCATCCCATTTTGGAATATTGTTGTAAATAAGAGCTCTCTTTGCAAAGCTGAATGTTTCTGTGACAGTAGCACCGTTTTTATCCTTAATCTTCTCTGGATTATTACATTTCACTTTCGTCTTTTTTATTATTTCTGGGTGCGTGCCTGCGTGTGTGTGTGTGTGTGTGTGTGTGTGGGTGCGTGCCTGCGTGTGTGTGGTTGTGTGGGTGCGTGTGTGTGTGCGCTTGTGCGAAAGAGAGACTCGGACACAGCATTAGTTTGGCTGTTTTCATGGTTCATGATAATAAATCACAGTAATGTCGGTTTTATACCAAAGCCTGTCCTTTGTGGTTCAGTGTGGCTTGTGACATGGTTTGATCGCACACATCATGTGGGTAAAATGTCCTGCCGTCATCAGGAAATATCCCGATTGTCTCCACAAGGGAAATGTTCACACATCAGTCACCCCTAAATTTATGTGCTGTCCTACTCCACTTTTACATGGTTTTTACTTGATTTGACAGTCATTTTAACTCCTGTTATTCAAACTGCTGTCACTGTGTGTAATTCCAGAGTAACATGAACAAAATGTGAACAAGAGTTGACTACAAATGAGCATTATTCACTTAGCAGGCCAAACTGCTGTGAGCCGTATTGCCCCTGAGCTGGTTTTATATTAATTAGCCTGGTTGGTGGATGATGTCGCCACCTGCTGGCGGATAGTAAACCATCTGCCGTATCCCCAGTCCTCACCTAAATGTAACCTAACCTTTGGTGCAAAATCTGTACAGTGGAAATGTGTAAATCATTAACCTCTTTGAGGGAAACATCATATATAATAATGGCGCGTTAACCTGTAACACACGCAGGGCAGATCTCTGCATGATCCCCCAGCACATCTACCACCAGGCTTCCCAGTCCTTCCCAGTAACCTCTCCTTTGGCCCCTTCCACGTCCCCCAGCTGGTCAGTGATGGGGATAACCCTTTGCTGCTTGGTTCTCCCTGCATGCCCGACATTTTGCAGTGTCTGCAGGTGTACGAGGAACCTGTACCCACAAAGACAACCAATCGTGATGTCTTTTTGAACCAACTCACATTACAAGTCTTATAAGGTCACAAATGACAACTAATATTGATATTCAGTGCCACAGCACAGCCTGGAAGGTAAGTAGAGTGATATAAATCAGCAATGGAACACCAAGCTTTCAACTTTTTCGTTGGCGTTGTGGATCCACTCCGAGGGGGCCCATCCGGCACGCAGCTCCTGGGGGCGCTGATCTGAATGCTACAAAAGGGGGAAACCTCAGACTAGCTGTACAGCGCCCTCTGCTGTCTATGCTGTATATGTGACCAAGGCTTCTCAGCTGTTCGAGACTCGTAGGTTAACGCCTCTGAGCAGTCAGGCAACCTGGTCTGTGTGATTTAAAACATTTTTTCCCTTCTGTTTTATTTTGTTGGACAGGTATTTGTTAAATGAATCTGCTTCTCACTTCTGTAGAGACACCAACAGCAGGGACACGTACTAATCCTCAGAGCCTGAGCATGAGCAAGGGGCTGTGTTGTGAACTGTACCTCACTTAACCGAGCAGTACTGGGTCATTTTGGGATATTCACACAGGGAGCGGCTGGCTTGCACCCAAACAGGGCACAGTGATGTCCAAGGTATAATGCTGTTTTTTTTTCCCCCAGCTAGTCTTGGGAAAATCATGGGAGTATTTTAAGATGGGGAAGGTCTGCCCCCACCAGCCCGCAGACCCCCCTGTGAGCCAGTCCTGCTGGTGTCAGGGCCAGACCCTCTCTGAAGTTCACCTTCTAAATGGTCCCTGGGAAATCCTGGTGGTCAGCACTTTCAGGAAGGAGTCACAGGCCACAATAAAATATCACTTCTGCATTTTATATAAGTATTACACCCAAATTTAACCTTTTTAAAATAAATCTGTCACTGTAATATATATCTGGTAGGTGCACACAGTGGGTGTGAGTTTGGCAGGGGCCAGTTCTCAGAGTAGGAACGAAAAGTGGATCAGCATCTTCATCCTTTTCTCAGACAAGGAAAGTATTTTAAAAGCTACTCTTTGGATTAATATACTATATGGCACATGTAATCTTTGAACTGTTATATTTCAATCTTACAACCAAAACCTATAAATTTATCTGCCTTTTATGATGAATATATTAAATACATTTATATATTATATACATAGTTCTTCTACATGGCCTTTTCATTACCACCACTGGCAGTTATGTATGAATTTTTTTTTTTTTAACTGAAGTTTGCCGTATATTAGATTTCGTGTTGTTACCTATACACTCCGCACACTGCGGTCTACGCTAAGTTCAGTACATATGTACGCTACTTGAGCACATCCCCAGTTTTTCCACAATGGTCACAAGCAGTCTTTCTGAGCCGCAGCTGCACCTGTGTGAGCGTCACAGCCGACAGGGGGCGTAGTTGGCTTCCCGCGGTAGAAACGCTGCATGATGTCCGTCCCGGTGACAGTGACAGGCAGCCCGGTGCCGGTGCGCTGTCCGAGATCCAGCTGGCGAAGGCGTCCCCGCCCCTCCATGCGTCCAAGGTGCTGTCCTTTGAAGCCCAGAGGTAGCGAGCTGCGGACCGCTGTGTGTCTTTGGGTGCAGGTGGTGGCTTTGTGCCGTTCACGGACTGACACGGGTACAATAACACGGACTTCACGACAGAACTGGACGTCTTCGTTCCCTCTAACTAAAACGTGAGTGCGGCGGTGGTGGTGATGGGAGAGGTGGCGCTATCGCCCAGTCCTATGTTACACAATGCAGGGTTATCGTGAACACCCCCCCCCCCCCACCCGACATAAACACGTGACCTGTGTATGTTAAAGTGTGCTGTGTTCGTTCGCTAATGTCGATGATGTCATTCTACAATTTTACAGTACAAAAAAGTGTCTGTGTGACAGAATAAACCCGTCAGTACCAGTGATATGACGGAGTTATGAGGGGGCGGTAAATTGGGCGGGGGTGCTGTGGGGGCTGCCCCTCTCTCCTCGCATCATCGCCTGTGCCGCTTCCACAGCCGCCACTCAGGTCAGGATCCACTCCGGGGGCAAGGGGTAGAAAGCGAGAAGGTGAGACTGCAGTGGGACTGCCCCCTACTGGCCCAAAGCAAGTTCTTCGGGACAGGAAGGTGAGATTGCAGTAAGACTGCCTCCTACTGACCCAAAGCATGTTCTTCGGGACAGACCTGACAAAATAGATGACAATATGAATACAGTAAACTGATTTTAGCGATGAGTACTTGTACTGAAAGGGCAGGTCCGCTGTGTGGTATATTTACGTATAAGCCCCCAGCAACCTGATTCTTATAGTAGCATTGCTTAAAATGGCTGCTGTCAGTTATTATAACTTGGAGGAGTTCAGCTGAATTTCCACTCACCTCTTGTTATTAAGCATTTCCACCCTCTGTGGAGAGAAGATAAGAGACCGTAGGTAACTATCATAACTGAAACATTTTAATACTGTGACTTTTACATTTTAAAACATGATGTTACTGTTTGTATTCGTGCTGATGGTCTCTGTCTGCCGCTTAATGCACTTATTCAGTTACGTGTGAATCGCTTAGTGCGGGGGTATTATTCCTTCAATAGGGAAGTGATGGCTTGCAGTACCGTTCTGCACCAGCAGGTGGATTTGAGGGAGGCGGCATTTGAAACAAAAAGAGGAGTGTGATGGAAAGCAGAGGACTTCTCTGCAAATGGGTGCAGGCGGCAGAGAGCAGGAACTAGCGAAATCCAGCTAACAGGCTTTATTGTGACTGGCTGAATGACCATTTACTCACAGCCTACTCTGCTGCAGACCTGCAGCCCCCATTCTGCTAAAGCACACTAACGGCAGCCGCGTCCATGTAGGGCTCTGTAAAGGGGCGCCGCCCATCCAGAACGAGACGGAACCCTTTGGGCTCCGGTGGTGGACTGAGCTGCTGAACCACATCCAGTCATCAGACTCCCTCTCTACCTTCAAGAAACACCTCAAGACCCATCTGTTCCAGGAACACCTCCACTAGCGCGATGTCTCCTTACATTCACTGAATATTCTTGTGTTTCACTTCTGGTCATTGATCAGTATTATTCGGTCCTTGCTTTGCTAGAGGCAGTTGTGTCGCTCCTGCTCCAGTCCTGCTTACCCTGTACCTTGGCCGTCACTGGGAGCTCAGCCTGGCTGCACTCACGCCTGGCCGACTCCTCAACAGCTGAATGTTTGCATTGTGCCATTTGTCTCGCTTAAACGTCAATTTCTACAAAAGCTTCTGCTAAATATGCAAATAAGAATCATCACCAGGTGTTTAAAAACGGGCTCCTTCACAGGCGTGCTACCATGCCCGGCCTCACGGCGGCGCCCTCCCCCCTTGTCCTTGTGGTGTCACACACAGAGCATGCTGACATTGTGGCGGTGGATGCCTTCCACGGGCAGGCAGCAAGCTGTGTAAACATCCATTAGTAACTGGCTGTTTGGTCCAGGAGACCTGAGCTGCAATTAGCAGATGACCAAAGCAAATTATCTCCCAGTCGTGCGTGTTCTGCTGCTGCTGCTCTCTCGCCATCCTTTCTGTCGCTGTGCTTGTTTACGGTCCGTGTGAGACGGAGGGACCGATCTGGGTGGCACCTGTGTATGGGTTGGGGGGAGGGGGGGGGCGATTAATGTGCCTGGCATGAGGCCACAGTCAGTATGCAGGCCAGTCTGGCTCACACCCCCGGCCTCCACGCCAGCCAGAGGGAACGAGGACTTGGTATGCTGGTGAGGACAGAATCCAAGGGCGTAGGTTTGGTTTAACATTGGTAGGGACCAAATCAGCCGCAAGCTCCCTGCTTCCCCAAACGTAGCCGGTACTCCTACAATGTTGGTAGGGACACATCCCCACCATCCATACCCAAATATCTGCCCTTGTGGTTAATGAAACCACGGTTGGCTTTTCAGGACATTAGAAATTTGGTTGCACTTGGCGTGATGGCCCAGTGATGCTCTCGCTGCCCGTACCAGTAACGCATCACCATACACGTAATCACGCGGCAGAGGCCAGACTACACCGTAAATTGGAGCGTGACGAGTGCCTGAAGGCCAGCAGCAGCTGACGCGTGCTGGGGGGGGGCGTAGGGCCCGTGGCTCGGAGACACGACCCGCCCTGAGGGATGGTCATCCCGCCCTGTGAGGTTTTACGACACGTGGCCGGATGGGAGGGGTGTTGATGAGGCATACACGGTATGGGAGAATGAGTAATCGTGGTTTGGGCGGGGTAGGGGGATCACACCCGTGCGGTCGGCCAGCAGCTCCTCAGCCATGAGCCCGTCCTGCCGGTTGCCGAGCACGAAGGCCAAGAAGGAGAGGATGAGGGCGTCCAGGATGCCCATGATGGCCAGGATGTAGGCCCAGCGCACGGAGCACGCGCCCAGCGCGTACTTGTCGGTCTGCTCGCCGCACATCCGCTTCACCTCGTCCGAGTCCCAGCCGTCTGGGTAGATCATGCAGCCCAGGACCAGACAGGTGCCTGGGGGGGGCAGAGATAGACGGGTTAACTGAGCAAGGGGTTTGGGATATATGGTAGAAGGGGAAGCAGCACATTCTCCAGGTTACATGAGGACAAACACCTCCATCCCACCAGCACCCTGACGCTCCCTGTGGGAAACGCCGTGGAGCCCCGAGCTGCCCCAAGGACCCCAGGAGCAGTGATATGCTCTTGCTCCACCTCCTCCATGCAGACAGGGTGGTGCTCTGATACAGGGAGGGCTTCAGCTACGGGCAGGATGGGCAGTCACCTGGGGCCCGAATTACCGGCGTGGCAGAGATGTGAAGGAATGGTCACCAGTTTTCTTGGGGGGGGGGGGGGGG